TAGAGTAAAGCCACGTCTTGGAGAAAAAAATCCATCCCGCATTCTTAGTCCTTGGATTAACCCAGGAGGGCTATCAGTCAGGTGTCAGGAGGTCTGGATGATGGATGCCAGGTGGGCAGGAAGATGGGCACCAGGAGGTCTGGTGCCGTCCTGAGACCTTCGGAGGACAGAAGGTTATCTGCCAGTAAATGTCTGGGGTTTTGACACAGACTGGAAAGTTCAAAAGTTTAAGTTCCCAGGCAAATTAAGGCAAGGGGAAAAAATCATTTCCTCATGTCTCAACCTCCTCAATGTTAATAATTGAACAGCTTGGTTAAAGGGACTCCCACTTGCACTTTTTCTGTCTTCACTCTTTTCCTCAGTTTCCAGCAGGCCTGGCCTGGGCCACCCTCTGGTCTATAATTAATCTCTGGATCTGGAAACTGAATCAGGAGTACCCTGTGCACACTGATGCCTCAGCGGGTCACAAGGTGCTGGGGAAGGAAGCAGCACAGGTAGCCCCAGGCAAGGAAAAACTTGTTTAAAGTTAAATGTGCCAGGCTGGGCAAGGTTCCCGGCCACCTGCAGGGGCTTGCTTGCTCTGCTGAGGAAAAACGTTCTGGGGCAGTAGCCTTGCAAAGTGTCCAATCAGGGGCACCGCTGGGGCAGGTGGGTGGTGAAGCACTGAGAAGCAGTGGACGTCCCTACCAGGTGCTGACTCTTGGGGATACTGGTCACCTGCCCTTAATAGACCCTGGTGGCTCTGACCTTAAACCTGTGAGAATGAATGACAGCAGTTCACACTGGACTAAGGCTGTGTTTGCACCAAATAAGCCTTTATTCTCAGTCCCCAGCACTATGGAAGTTACTGTCTCCATCCACTCAGCAACTGGTCCATATCCTGCTCTCACAGATCTGACTGTGTCTGTTTTGCTTGTACTTATAACAGCAGCCTCTTAGCTGCCATTGGCCTTCACCTCTGAAGGAACTTGATTCACCTTTACCTAGTTACCTGCAGGACCTCAGCACCATTGCCAGCACACATGGTCTCTGCAGGCAGGGTCTGGACCACATCCATCCTGCTCCGGGGCGCAGGTACAACGACATTGCACTAGTGACATCCTCCTCTGAGGGTACTCAGGACATAAAAATATTGACAAAAGTCACTCATAAAAAGGACAGGCCATTGCTGTGTATATCAAGTGAGACCCTGGCCCCGTGTTTTAAATTCCTAAAACGTATTCAGTAATCTGGGTCCTGCTCATCCTTACAAAGGTGGTAAAGAAACAGCTATTGCCCCTCTTAGCACCCACCACATTGTCTAGATTCTTTGGGTGCTCTGGAGGAAACACAGTCCATTTACATGCTGCACTTGAGTCCATTTATACTGTTTCTTACAAACACCCACCTTGAACAGTAGGTACCCCTGCAGCAAAACCAAAAGGCTCTGGAGTCAGTCAGATTGCCATGCGACGGGCACTCCCATAGTGCCCACAGACACTTGTTCCACAGCAGAGCCTTCGGTGACCTCCTGCTGTGCCTCCCAGAGTTACCCACGATGGCCCTGAGTTGTCCATAGGCTTCTGATGCAAGAAACTGCCTGAGGCTCCAAACTGTATGCCATTAGAGCGCAGTTGTCACTGCTTGTAAAGCTGTCCTAAAAATGGTCCTGAACCTGTGACCCCTTAGGAAGCTACCCTTTATGCCCTGGGACCTGTGAACAGTGCCCCAAGAACTCTGTTCTCGAGACCCCTTGAGTCTCGATAACAGCTAAACCTGGCACCTCAGGCATATTCTACCAGGAGGGGGTGGCCCCCCTCTCCTCAGTCCCTTGCCAGGTGCTGAAGGAGGTCACCGTTTTCCCAGACTTCTAGGTTTCCTGGGGAGCACTTTAGGATTCCCCGAGTTAAAGGAAATGAATTCATAGCCTTCAGGGACAACATCGCCTCATCTGTACATGATGAAGCTCAGGCAGTTACTACTCATATCCTTTAACTGGAATATCCTTTTAAAGGATGGGACTCAAGGGTCCACACAACTGACCAAACAGCAGGCAGTCATTAGCACTGACCAGAATTGGCTTCACCGGCCATGTTTACAGACTCTTGGATGATTAAGTTGCCCTTTTGTGGCAAAAGAATTCTGGGACTGCCTTGCCTCACAGTTACCCACAGTATAAATCAAGGCAACACCTATCTCTACATGCTGAACTAAGGTGGCCTCACCAGCACACTCATATTAGTTTTGACCTTGTCATGTTTTGTAGTCTCTGAGCTTTGCAATGTAAAATGAGGTGCATCCATCCTTTCCTTATCATATACAACACTTTTACTGCCCTAAAAATCTTCTGTGCTCCACTTACTTATCAATTTCTCCCTTTCACCCCCCAAGTCCCTGGGAACCAAAGATCTTTCACTGTCTCATAGTTTTGTGTTTTCCAGAACTTTCCTTAAATTTTCAGGACAGTGTTAACGAGGACCAGTGAGAGGAGACATCATTGCCTTCTTCCTTATCTTAGCAGGAAAGCATCTAGTTTCTCACCATTAAGTATGATGTTAGCTGCAAGTTTCTTGTAGATGATCTTTATCCAGATGAGGAAGTTTCCCTCTCTCTAGTTTGCTATTATCAGTGAATTTGGGGTTTTGTTAAATGCCTTTACATTTTCATTTTCTCCTCTTTCATTTATGATATGGATAATTTGTGTTTTCTCTTTTATTTTCAGCTTGTATAGATGTTTCTCAATGTCTTTAATATTTTCAAATAAATAGTTTTTTGTTATACTGATTTTTCTCAATTGGTTTTCAGTACTTTTGTTGATTTACTTTTTAGATTTTATTACTTCTTGTGCTTGCTTTGGGTTTAATTTGCACTCCTTTTTCTTTCAGTTTCATAAGATGGATGCTTACAGCATTGATTACAGATTTTTTTTCAAGTGCATGCCTTCAGTGTATTTCCCTCTAGGCACTATTTTGCTGCATCCCACAAAAGCGAAAACAAACCAAATGTCTGTTCACAGATGGAAAGATAAACAAAAAATGTTTTATCCAAACAATGAAATATTATTTGGCCATAAAAACAAATGAAGTATATACATGCTACAACATAGTTGTCCCTTGAAAAAAATTAAGATGAATGAATGAAGTCATTCACAACATCATATAGTATACAATTCTGTTCATTGGAGAGCCCAGATAAAGTCACACATAGAGACAGACAGTAGATTAGGGTTCCTGAAGCTAGGGACTGGAAGAGGAAGATAGGAATGTTGGGAGTGATAGCAAAATAAACAGGAGTTTGTTTTAGAGAGGACAAATGTTGAAAAATTGACTGTGGGGATGATTGCACACATTTGGGAATATACTCAAACTGTCGTATTGTATGTTTTATGTGGTTTCACTGTATACCATGTGCATTATATTAACCATAATCATAACAGCTTTATTTGATTTATTAACAGCATTATTTGAATTATTAATGGCATTATTAACCATAAAGCTGTTCAAATAAATAAATAAATAAATGCATTAAAAATTTCATGGTCCAATCACTTAGGCGTGTCCAGATTGAAACATCCATCACTACACATAGTTAGTTACTTTGTGTGTATGTGTGGTGAGAAAGCTTAATCAACATTTAGCAAATTTCAAGTATACAGTATAGTATATGCATATCAAATCATCATGCCATGATCTTTAAATATAGACAATTCTGTTTGTCAGTTGTACCTCAGTAAAGCCAGAGGAAGGAGGTGGAGAAAGTTCCCATATGTAACCCAAGTCTACAGAATGATTTATTTTTTTCTATCAGTGAAAGTGAGAATTAACTGTCTTATGGATATTATAGTCATTTACATGTCGGAGTTCTCTAGGGATGCTGGGGGAAATTGATAGCCATTTTAAGACACAACACAGTGACTAGAGAGTGATTTGTTTTTGCAGCCCAGTGGCCTGTTTTGGCCCAAAGAGGCCAAAAGCCTCTTTTGGCTTCTCTGGACTATTTATCTTCTACATGCCAGAGATAAAGCTCTGCTCCTTCTGCTTCTGTAAACTGCCTCCTGCTTTTGCGCCAGAAGTAAGGGTCGGAAGGAGGGGCCCTCCCTTGCTCTGTAAAAATAACTGCTCCCCCGCCCCCTGTTGAGTGCCCAGAATTTGGAGACTGACCCTCTGGGTCCGTGCATAAAATAAACTTCCACTCCCTACACCCGAAAGCAGTTGAGTTGTTTTCTGTAACAGGGTCACAGGAAAGACTTAAATTTCCTTCCGGTGTAAAATGTACATCTGAAGATGTAACGAACACATGTCACACCCGTGGTGAAACTGAGGAGAGTCCGAGCACCCACTCTAGGGACCCAGGGTTCCAACTTCCCACCAGAGCCAAGTGTCCGGAGGCAGAACTGACTGGAGGTGAGGAAGAGATTGCTGGGAAGCATCAAAGATTGAAACGGAGCCAGACTCGTTATTATAGATCGTGAAATCACATTAAGTGTCAGTGTTTCTAAAGAGTCTCAGTGCCAACGGATGACCTGACAGCCTTGCACCAAGCCCTTGACCTGTAGAGGACATAAACCCTCTTGTTCCCTTGTGGCCCCACCTGGCTCCCCACCCTCATGTTCTGCTCTTACTTGCACCATTTGGAAACTGAATTCCCTGTGCACGCCTGTGCCCACGTGTTTCCAAAGAGCTGGGCAAATACAGTAGTCAGTCAGCTCCATGTTGGGGAAAAGTTCTGTTTAAAGTCTGAGTCTAGCTAGGGTCCTGCAGAGGGCTGTCATTCAGGGCGAACGCCACCAGCAACTGTCCAATCAGGGGTGCCGCTGAGGCAGGTGGGTGGGGCGAGGCACCGCATGGGCGTGGACTTCCCCACTGCCTTCAGCGCTGGCTCGGGAATACACATCGCTTTTACTTAACGGTCTCTGGTTAACTGATGTGGGCTCTGCAGGCACTGTGATCTGCACGGGTATTGGACGTGTGGGCGGGACTCAGGTAAACCCAGGAAACCTAGAAATGGTGAGTGTGCGGCCGGATGCGGAGACCGGGTGGAGAGCCTGCTTGGAACTGGCTGGAGCCGGCTGGAACCGGCTGTGGTAGGACCGGCCCACCCTTGGTCTGGTCTGGAGTCTGTGGACCGAATCCGCTCGGGGCTCCGCTGGGCCTCAGCTCCCACCAGCCACACAGCGAGGAGGCTGGGCCGGGAACCGTGACGTGGAGGTTCCGTGCAGTCACTGCGCGGCGACTTCGCCTCCGCAGCCTCTTGGGCAGCTGTGCGCTCACAGCCCCGCGTCTCCCCAGATGGTGCGGTGGCCACGGGAAGGATCACCTGGTGAAATCCCGACCGGGTCTGCGGGGTTTGTGTGTGGGAGGAGCTGTGGTCCACAGGGTCCGCAGTCCCTTCTTTCGCCCCAGGGGGAGCCGTCTTTTTATGAGTTTTCTAAATGTTTGGGAGGCAGGGTCTCAAATCCACGACCTCATTCCCCCAGATTGCCCCTTACCCAAACTGGCAGTCCTCACATTTCCAGGTCGGTTCTCGGGCTCCCAGAGCCACCCTTCCGTCCCTGAGTTACAGCATCATTATCAACTATTTGTTCTCCAGGGTGCGTTTCAAACAGCCTCAGTATTTTAATTGCTTACCTAATTTTTGTATGGAACAATGGAATGCCTTTATTTAGAGATTGACGTTTGAATGGATGTTTTGTTTGAGAGGGAAGGCGATGGTAACCACCTGGAAGACACATGAAATCCGTTCCTCGCCCTCAGGATCTTTCCTGGGCACAGACGTCCTACTGGAAGTTCTTTGGGTGGAGGTTCCTCTTTGGAAACTTTTCTGGTCTCTCCTGTCAGCACCGCCCCTTCCCTGGGTCTGTTGCCTTGAAAACATTTGTTGACTTACTTACTCAGTTTTTAATGTTTTCAATAGAACTTAAAGACACATAAAAGACCTCCAAACACACAAAAAGAGAATTCAGAAGAAAAAAATTCCAGAATGACATTCCATTTCTAGAATTTTTCTCTCACTCTTCCTGAGCATGTGTAGTAAGTTTCTGAGATTTGTTTGATTTGGGAGTGTTTTAAAATCCAATTCCAGGGCTTAGCCTTGCCGAGCAGAATTGCCGGAGTAGATTCATGAGAAAAACTTCCTGGCCCTGGAAGTGGAGGAGCAGTGAAGGCTCTTGGGTGGAGGTGGGTGTGGATACCCTCCTTTCTGTGGTTGTGGTTGTTCGGGCCTAGACATTTCTAGGTTTCATGTTGAGGTTTGCATTCAGAGTATAATTTGTGTGCATTGAGCAAGTCTGTGAAGGTCAGGTGTTTTTGTCTCCTTCAGAAAGGGTTTATGAGTTGGGGACTTCATTTGGGTCAGAAGTTAAGCTGGATCAGGCTGAGAGTTCTCTCACTTGCAAGAATGAAAGCCTGGGGAAGGGAGCGCTTCCATGCCTACAGGAGAGGAGACTGTAGAACAGGGGGCCACATCAGCCTTGCAGTTGCCTTCAAAGGGCTGAATGTAATTTTAGGACTGTATAAATGTAACTACTCTTCAGCAGTTAAGTGGCCCGGGTAGAAACAAGGAGGTTCCGGGCGTGATATAAGGTGGAGGGCCGGATTAGGCCCACAGGCCTTGTGTTTGCCACCTGTGCTGTAAGAGCTCCCACAGTTCACTCCTGAGCTGCTCTGGTGTCCCTTCCCTCCTTCACCTGGGACTGACCCACTCCCGGGTTTTAACCTCAACAGGGGGTGTCTAAACCCTTAGTGAAAACATACTCAACTTTCTGAGTGTGCGTTTCCTTCTGAACTATAGGGAAGAAGGCTGCTTATCTGTCTTGATTCCAGTATTGCTGTTTCATTTCGCCGGATTCCTTGCTTCTTTAAATATTGCAGCCCTTTGATTCTAGTTGCCATTAGCACCTAGGCTTTTAAAATATAATTTGGGAGATACTGTGTGAATAAGGCAAGAAACTCAGGGAACCAAATAGAATTAGGTTTAATTATGGAAGAGAATCTGAGGATGTGAGATGGGTGTTTTTAAGTTCTCAGGTGATTTTTCCATTTTTTAGGTCAGTTTTTGTATGTCCATGACTCTAGAGAACTTTGACCTTGAAAAGTCTATACTATTCCTTAGGCAAATGAATTTCTGTTTTAATGGATGTGAGGAAAAAAGCGGTTCAATTTTTATTTTCATTGATATAAGAAAACTTAAAATTTATGGACATCTTTGAATGTTCTAGTTTATTTCAGGGATTTATTGCAAATCCTAATGTACTACATTGTATTATATATAATGTTATTCAAACTATTATAATGTCCCTTGTTCTTTTCTTTTTATCAGAGGGGATTTGGGAATTTTTGATGGTCCGCAATTTTATATTTTTTAGTGTTTAAATGATTACATCTTAGAGTGGTGTTCTGTATAGAAAATTAAAAATTAATTTACAATAACGATTAAGCATAGTGATTAACCCTCCTTGAGATTTGCATTTCTATGTTTCCACTCCTGTTCTAGCTGTCCTTTTAGTTTGCTTTTGTTTTAGGTGTGGTTGTTAATAACTGTGAGTTTGCTGTCCTTTCACTGTTCATGTTTTTTTAACTTCCTTTTCTTAGATAAGTCCCTTTAACATTTCATATAATAAGGGTTTGGTGATGATGAACTCCTTGAATTTGATCTTATCTGAGAAGCACTTTATCTGTCCTTCCATTCTAAATGAAAGTTTTGCTGGATAGAGCAATCTTGGTTGTATGTCTTTGGATTTCATGACTTGAAATACCTCTTGCCAGCCCCTTCTTGCCTGTAAGGTCTCTTTTGAGAAATCTGCTGACAGTCTGATGGGAACTCTTTTGTAGGTGACTGTCCCCTTAGCTCTTGCTGCTTCTAGGATTCTCTCCTTCATTTTAATCTTGACTAATGTAATTATGATGTGCCTTGGTGTGTTCCTTCTTGAGTCTACCTACTTTGGGACTCTCTGAGCTTCCTGGATTTCCTGGAAGCCTATTTCCTTTGCCAGATTGGGGAAGTTCTCCTTTATTATTTGTTCAAATAAGTTTTCCACTGGTGGCTGTTCCTTTCCCCCTTCTGGTACCCCTATAATTCGGATGTTGGAGCGTTTAAAGATGTCCTGGAGGTTCCTAAGCCTCTCCTCATTTTTTTGAGTTCTTGTTTCTTCATTCTTTTCTGTTTGGTCATTTTTTTCTTCCTTCTGGTCCACTCCATTAATTTGAGACCCAGTTTCCTTTTCATCACTATTGAATCCCTGTGCATTTCCCTTCATTTCATTTAGTTTAGCTTTCATTTATTCCTCTAATTTGTAACTAAAATCAACCAATTATGTGAGCATCCTGATGACCAGTGTTTTGAACTGTGCATCTGATAGACTGGCTATCTCTTGGTCACTTAGAAGTATTGGCTCTGGGGCTTTGAGCTGTTCTTCTTGAGCCATAATGTTTTAGTCTGTTGGCACCTGTTACATATGAGAGGCGGAGCCTTAGGTGTTCACCAGGGTGGGGCAACCCAGTCGCTGGGTTGTGATGCTCTATGTGGGGATGGGGTCAGAGAGGGAAAATTGTGCTTATGCTGTTCTCAGATTTTGGTCCCCTCTGCTGCTTCCTGCAAGCAAATGGGGCCCCCCTGGTGTTGGCTCCTGGGTGTGTGGGCCTGTGCACCCTCCAGGACCCTGTGGGTCTCTCCAACAAACTCTCTGTGAGCCTGGGAGCTTCTCCTGGCACCTCAACCCGAAAGTTTTTCCAGTTGGTGCTTTTAGACTTTAATTCCCGTTGCTGGGGCCCTTGTTTGTGCTCTCTGTCTCACTGCTTGCTCCTTTACTTGGTTTGTCTGCGTGCAAATGTGTGACCTTGGTCAGCCAGCTGCCTTGTGCCCTCACTGGGTCCGCCCGTTGCCACCCCACACCTGGGATCTGCCAACCACTGCCTGTGCGCCTGGGTTAGTCCGCGCTTTTTCCTGCGGGACCCCGCTCCACCAGCCGCTGACTCTGCCCCTCTTACCGGTCTGGCTGAATGGTTGTTGGACTTCTGTACAGTTCAATTTTCTGTGTTTTGGTTGCATTTTTGTCACTGAAACTTTGTTGTCTTTAAACTTGGTTGTGCGAGGAGGTACAGTGTTTCCACCTATGCCTCCATCTTGGCCCGAAGTCCTCATACTAGCTTTATAATAAGTTGATTTACCACTTTTACTAAATGCTTCCCTTTACCATTGAGTTTTTAAAATCTTATTTTTAGGTCTGTCCTTTTATTTTTTGCTTACAGAAGTCTATTTAGTATTTCCTTTGATGCTGATTTAGTGGTGATGAACTCCATTGGTTTTTGCTTGTCTGGGAAATTGTATTTCTTTTCATCTGAATGACAGTCTTGCTGGGTAGAATATTGTTTGTTGTAGGTTTCCCTTTTATTTACTTTGATTATATTATACCATTCTCTTCTGGCCTCCAAAGTTTTTGTTGAAAAATCAACTCAGTCTTATGGGAGCACCCTTGTACATAACTGTTTTTCTCTTGTTACTTTTAAGATTATTTCTTTATCTTTTGGCATTTTAATGAAAAGAGTTGTGGGGTTTCTTTGAGTTCATCTTGTTTGGAACCCTATGTGCTTTCTGACTTGGATGTCTGTTTCCTTCACCAGGTTAGGGATGTTCTTGGCCATTATTTCCTCAGATAGGTTTTCCATCCTTTATTCTTCTGTGTACTATATTTTTTGGACTATAAGATGCACTTTTCCCCCAAATTTTGGAGGAAAGGGGGTGTGTGTCTTATAGTCTGAACATAGCTTACCTGGCTAGTACATGTAGTTTACATTTACATTGGTGAAATATTATGTTATTTGTGTCATTAAATATTTTACCACATTTTTTGCTTCAAAAATTTTTTCCTATTTTTCTCCCCTAAAACTTAAGGGCATCTTATGGTCCGGTGCGTCTTATAGTCCTAAAAATACGGTATATCTTTCGATCTCGGGTAGGTCTCTTGGACACAGCATATATATGGGTTTTGTTTTCTTACCCATTCAGCTACCCAGTGTCTTTTGGTTGGAACATTTAAACCACTTACATTTAAAGTGATTATTGATAGATGCATATTTAGTGCCATTTTATTGTTAGACTGTTTTCCTCTCTTTTTTTCCTTCTTAAAGCAAATTCTTTAACATTTGTTTCAGTACTGTTTTTGTGTTAACACACTCCTTTAGCTTTTTCTTGTCTGGGATGCTTTTTATTTAATTTCCTCTTAAAGTTTAAATGATAGACTTGCTGGGTAAAGTAGCCTTGGTTGTAAGTCCTTCTTGCTTTTCATCTCTTGAATATTTAATTCCATTTGCTTCTGGCCTGAAATATTTCTGTTGAGAAATCAGATGACAGTCTAATTGGTGCTCCCTTGTAGGTAACTTCCTGCTTTTCTCTTGCAGCTTTTAGGATTCTTTCCTTGTTTTTAAACTTTGCCACTTTAATTATGATGTGTATGGGAGTAGGCCTCTTTGGTTCCAACTTTTTTGGGACTCTCTGAGCTTCCTGGACTTGTGTGTCTTTTTCCTTCACCAGATTATGGAACTTTTTAGTCATTATTTCTTCAGATGGGTTCTCGGTCCCTTTCTCACTCTCTTCTGCTGGTAGTCCCATGATGTGGATGTTGTTACACTTCAAGTTGTCCCAGAGGTTTCTTAAACTCTCCTCATATTTTAAATTGTTTTTTCTGTTTTGCTTCTCTGCATGGTTTTTTTTTTCTACTTTGTCTTCCAAATCACTGATTTGATCCTCTTCTTTTTCTAACCTACCGTTTATTCCTCCAGTGTATTATTTTATTTCAGATATTGTGTTCTTTATTTCTGACTGGTCCTTTTTTATGGTTCCTGTGTCTTTTTTTCATGCTGTTAAGTATTTTTATAATGATTAAACTGTCTGATGGAGTGCTTGCCTCCATTTCATCTAGTTCTTCTTCTGGAAAGTCCTCTTGGTCATTCTTTGGGGACTGTTTCTTTTTTTCTCATTTTGGCTGCCTCTTTGTGTTTGTTTCTATGTATTAGGTAGATCTGTAAGACTCTGGTGCAGCCCTAAGTGGAACCCTGCCTGTGACTGGCCCTAGGCAACCTGTTTGGAACTGTCAGAATCCACAGCGTGTAGCTCCCTCTGCTGGGCCTGGGTGTGTGCAGATGACTAGTTTCACTGTTTCTATTTATTGTCCTTATTTAGTTATTTTTTTGTCTTCCTCCCTTTTATGCCTTCTTTGGCTTTAATTGAGCATTTTTTCCCTCATACTTTTATTTTCTACAGTGTTAGCAATCAATTACACATATTTTAAAACTTTTTTGGTGCTTGCCATTGAGTTTTGAGGATAGGTTTACAACTTACCTCTTCCATCAAGTCACACTGTACTGCTTTGCTGATTATGCAGGTACCTCAGACCACTCTCTTCAAAGCTCTCCTGATGTTTTTTTTTATACTAATGTTACTTATTGCACATATTTCTCAGCATATAGTTGTCAGATACATTGTTGGTTATGTTATTTTAAACAAAATGGCATCTGTTATAAAATTATGGTAAGAAACACAGAAGATATTTTACCTCCATTTATTTCTTTTCTAATTTACCACCTTCAACATTTACATTTTTTCCACTAAATTTTTTAATGTTTCATTCAAAATATGTGTAGTCATGACAGATTTCCTTGTTTTTGTCTAAGAAAGTTTTTTTTATGTTTTGAAGGATAATTTTGATTGACGCAGGAGAGTAGTGTTTTTCTTTTAAAACTTTAAATTTTATATTCTTTTTTTTGCATGATTTCTGATAAGACCTGTAATTTAATTCTAATCTTTGTTTCAATATGTTATTTCTGTCTTTGCTTTTTGTCTACATTGAATATGAGATAATTGGTTGTACACTTTTGTTGCTTTTCATTTTTAGTGTGTTACTTATTATTTTTAGGACAGTCTCACTGATTGTTACATCATGGATTTCTTCTGTTTCTTATCTGTCTTTCTTTTCCTTCATGCACTCCCATGACATGGATTTAAGTTTTCTGTTTAAAGAGGGTACTTAGAGTTCATGGACATTGTTGACTGACTTTTTATTCTTTTTTCTTTGCATTAGACTTCAATGAGATATGTATTTTTTTAGTTATATTTCTTAATGTTAACATAATATTTGGGGCATATTTCAAAGTATTGTGTTTATTTTATTTTTCCAATATTGGGGACACTGAGTCCTGATTTAAATTATCTGATGGACTTAAAAAGAGTACAAATTTTTTTGCTTTTTTATTGTAAGGTCAGAAAAAACAGCTTCTAAGATACTTCAGTCCCAGGCCAGACATTGGAAATCTCTAACTCCCACTCTTTCATCATTGACTACCGACAGCTTTAAAGCCCTGCCTTTCCTCTTCCCCTTGTGCACCATCTGTAGGAGGTGATGGGAAAGCCTGAGGGCTTTCTCCTTTGCTGCAGCAAGAGATTGAATCTACACAAGTTCCTGCTCTTGTGAGTGAGCTCTCACCCCAGCCTATCGCCTAATCTTATAAAACAAGTGCATGCACCTTTGCTTGTTCTCTTAAAGAATCTTATCCTTTCCTGAGAGGCCTGCCTTATTCCCCCAAGACCTCAACTGTGGATGTAATAAACCCCGTCACACTCTGCTGATAGTGCATGCTGTCATCAGCTGAGGGATCCCATGCTCAGGGGTGGAGCTGTCATGCTCCTTTACTCCACAGGGGAGTTTAGAAGTGACAGAAGAAGAAAAAGCATTGCCTAGGCACACAAATAATACCTTTGTGTTACAGTTGCCTATAGTATTCAGTACCACAACATGCTGTACAGGTTTGTAGCCTAGGAACAATCTGCTGCATCACATAGTCCAGGTGTTTGGTAGACCATACCATCTAGGTTCGTACACTCAACGTGTTCCCACAAAGATGAAATTATCCAAACAATATATATCACAGAATGTATCTTCATAGATAAGTGGCACCAGACCGTAACTTTCCAGGCAATCATATTGGACATAGAACGAAGGGAAGAGCTGAGTCTATAACCAATATTCTGTAAGAAAAAAGCAGTGCTGGTCTGTATAAATACTATTCAGACAGATGACTTTTAATGGCCTGGAGATGAGGATGATGTGGCTCCCTGGACCATGCTAAAACTGGCATTGTCAGAGGCCTTCTGGACTCATGTTTGCTGATGGCAGTAGAACAAAGGGCTTCTTGTATTCAGTATGTATGTGTTCACTGTAACCTTGTGCAGATTTCATAACCCTTTGCATCATGTAGATGGTGAGTAATAAAGAAAAAAGATTAAAAACTACTTTTTAGCAAAGAATGGATCATCTTAAAAATGATAATACAGGAGTGGGCAAAAGTAGGTTTACAGTTATTTGGAAAAAGACATGCAGGTTATTATTATCACAATAGCTTTATGAACTCTGTGTTCCATGTACTCACAACTGTAAACCTGCTTTTGCCCACCCCAGTATCTTTCTCATTTCTGTAGCACTTCTTTCTGAATAGAAAGAATCCAACATGCTCTGATCCTGCCAGTAGAGAAAATACATGTAATATAATGTCATCACAGTAAAAATGTGTACATAATTTCCATGTGTTCATGATGGTGTCAAATTTATAAGGAAGTAATTGTGGACAGAGAGTAAGTTTTTGATGATCAAGTCATAGATTAAATGTTTTCAGATGAGAGAATCATATGTAACCTGACCGTAAATGGAGTCTAGATGCCCAGTGCTAATCTGTCTTATAAACTGTACTGTACACATATTTGTGGTATTTTAGGATTCAGTGACATTTGAGGATGTGGCTGTGAACTTCAGTCTGGAGGAGTGGGCTTTACTGGATTCTTTGCAGAAGAAACTCTATAGAGATGTGATGCAGGAAACCTTCAGGAACCTGGCCTCCATAGGTAAGGATGACAGGTTATCTTCACTTCCCCATCTGAAGGACAGATGTTTCTTACCTATCAATAGTGTGCTAACTTGTAGGAATAGAGGACATTGGTAAATAAACTAGGTATAGTCAACAGCTCATCATAGAACCAGAATCTGATAATTTTTCTATAATTTCTAATACTTTGGAATTATATATCTTGGTCTGCATTTTAGGGAAAAAATGGGAAGCTTATGACATTGAAGATCAGTACAAAAACCAGGAGAGAAAATGTAGGTGAGTCGCACTCATAATAGAGAGCAGTGTCTCAGGTGAGAAACATGTTGTGCTATGAAATTTTTATAAGAATCAACCCAAACTACTCCTGCTTCAAATTAACTACTTCTCAAAACCTTTCTACCACATTACTTATATCTATATGACACAGATGTCCAGTGTTTGTGAAATGGTTTACATGGAAATAGCATTAATGAAGTGTATACATGACAGTTGCTGTTTTGATAATAGCAAGGCTGAAGTTGTCTTCCAGAGCTTTTATTGTATTCAGTGCAATAATTTGGACAAGAGAGTAAACCTGTATTGTGCAGTAAATCATAAAAAGGTAGTTCAGATATTCTACTAATAAACATAAAATTATTAACAAAGAAATTAATAATGTGCTTCTTGTTTTTTATAGGAGTTCAGTGGTAGAGAGACTCTGCAAAGGGAGGGAGGGTAGCCAGTGTGGACAAAACTTCAGCCTTATTCCAAGTCTCAGTCTGAAGAAACTTCTTCCTGGAGGAAAACCCTGGGAATACAGTGTGTGGAGGGAAGTCTTCATGCATCAGTCATCCCATAATGGGGACATCACATGTCACAGGCCATCTGGGTATCAGAAGTATGGAGAGAAGCCATGTAAATGTACTGTATGTGGGAAAGTTTTCACTTACACTCAGTTTTTTGAAAAACATGAAAGACATCACAATGGAGAAGAATTGCATAAATGTGAGGAATGTGGAAAAGCCCTCATGTGGCTCAAAAGTCCTGAACGACACAAGATCACACACACTGCAGATGCTCCTTACAGATGTAAGGTGTGTGCACAAACCTTTAGTTCTTCAACTTCTCTTCAGACATGTGAGAGAACCCACAATGGAGAGAAGCCCTATCAGTGTAAACTCTGTGGAAAAGCCTTCCGATATTATAAAAGTTTTCAAAGACATGAAAGACATCATCCGGGAGAAAAACCCTATGAATGTAAAAAATGTAGTAAAGCATTCAGGTATCCCAGTCATCTTCAAATTCATGAGAGAACTCACACTGAAGAGAAACCCTATGAGTGTAAGGAGTGTGGAAAGGCCTTCAGGTCATATAGTTCCTTACAGCCCCATGAAATGACTCACACAGGAGAGAAACCCTATGAATGTAAGGAATGTGGAAAAGCCTTCAGGTATTACAGTTCCTTACAAATACATGAAAGGTCTCACACTGGAGAGAAACCATATGAGTGTAAAAAATGTAATAAAGCATTCAGTGCTCCCAGTTGCCTTCGAAAACATGAAAGAATTCACAGTGCAGAGAAACCCTATGAATGTAAGGAATGTGGAAAAGCTTTCAGATTTTACAGTTCCTTACAAACACATGAAAGGACTCACACAGGAGAGAAACCCTATGAATGTAAGCAATGTGGAAAGGCTTTGAGATATTATAGTTCCTTACAAATACATGAACGGATACACACAGGAGAGAAGCCCTATGAATGTAAGGAATGTGGAAATGCATTCAGATGCAACAGTTTCTTAAAAATACACAAAAAATCTCACACTGGAGAGAAACCCTATGAATGTGAAAAGTGTAGTAAAGTATTCAGCACTCCTAGTAATCTTCGAATCCATGAAAGAACCCACACTGCAGAGAAACCCTATGAGTGTAAGGAGTGTGGAAAAGCCTTCAGATATTATCGTTCCTTACAAACACATGAGCGGACTCACACGGGGGAGAAACCCTATGAATGTAAACATTGTGGTAAGGCCTTCATTTGTCTCACCACCATTCAAAGACACATGAAAATGCACACTGGAAATACACCTTATGAATGTAAGGAATGTGGGAAAGCATTCACTTGCCTTAGTTTGTATCAAAGACATGAAAGAACTCACACTGGAGAGAAACCCTATGAATGTAAACAGTGTGGAAAAGCCTACAGAGATCACAGCTCCTTACAAAGACATGAAAGGACTCACACTGGAGAGAAACCCTATGAATGTAAGGAGTGTGGAAAAGCCTTCATTTGTAACAAAGTTTTTCGAATACACCTGCTGAGAGTACACACTACAGAAAAACCATACAAATGTGAAGAATGTGGGAAAGACTTTAGTCATCCCTATTCCTTCCGGAGGCACAAAAGGACTCACTGGATAAAACCTCTTGAATGCAAATAGTGTGGGGAAGACTTTAGTTAGCCCACATCCTTGTAAAACCACTGAAAATAAATTTAAAAAATGGAAACATAAAAAGGATTGACGTAAATTAATTTAGTTACAGTGTTCTAAAAACTTTATTGTTAAAAAATTATTTTTAAAATTGATTTTAGAGACAGCTAGGGAGAGAGAGAGAGAAACATCATTTTGTTCCATTTATTTATACTTTCATTGGTTGCTCCATGTTTGTGTGCCCTGACTGGGGATTGAACCCACAACCTAGTATATCAGGATGATGCTCTAACCACCTGAGAGATTTGGCCAGGGCTCTTCTACAAAACTTTCAAGATTAAAGAGTTGTCATTAAAATAATAAGTTATATTCACCAGGTTTAAGTTCATAATGGCACATAGGATTTTTACTACAGTAGATCCTTGAAAAGCGGGTTAGGGCAAACTGCTATTTTCCATACAGTTGAAAATTTGTGCATAACCCAAGCCAGCCTTCTGCATAAATGAACACCAAGCTGAAGATCAAAAATACAGTTGACTCTTGAATAGCCCAAGTTTGAAACTGCGCAGGTCCACATTTTATGTTCTGCATAAAAGTGGACCTGTGCATTTCAAACTTAGTGTTTAAGCATCAGTTACTTTTAGAAATGAATATTGAGGTGAAGTTATTTTACAGTTTGTCTTTCAATAATTACATAATTTAATAGGCAGTAAGTTTTCATCATTGGTTAATAATACTGCTTCTTTACATTTTGAAGCCTGTTAGACCCATGGGTGAATTCAAGTTTAATTCTAATATGCAATTAGGTTTAAATTTTTATGATGTTTTGTTTGTTTCATGTTAAGGGGCCATTGGAAAATGGCGGTTTGGTATTTGTTGGGATTTTCCTACTGGTTTTGTGACAGTTCTGGGTATTTCTCTTCCATTATATATATTCTCACTTTCTTACTGACAAAACACCTTTTGTGGTGTGATAGGTATTAGATACTTTTTTTCATTTTCCATTCTAATAAAAACTTGGGAGAAATTTTTAAGTATGTCAAGTTTATGAAAGATTTTAGTTTTATGAGCATTATTTTTATATTTGAGCCTTTGCTCATGTTTTTTCTTGTGACTTGCATTTGGTGAATAGATTTTTGTTTAAGAAGAGAGACCTATAATAAAAAAAATAGAGTGGAAAACATTACCTGTGTGGATAGAGTTGGAAACTTGATTTTTTAGGAACTTTATGGTTCCATATTAGGAATTATTAATAACTCCCCGCCCCCGGTGTGAGATTGGAAGGCAGAAGGGAAGAAGTCATTAGTCAGATTGTATGGCCGCTACACAAGGAGAAGTATGTGGGGGGTTTGAAGACATCATCTTCTACCTCTTTTTTTTTTTTTTAATTCTTTGCCCTTCCAGTTAAGAGTATCCTTGTAGCCACCACCATTTAGTTTGATTTCCATTTTTTTAGGTGTAGGTTTTCACAAATGTCTTCACAAATTGCAAGTCAGAGATCATCAGAGTTTGGATTTTCCTGCAATCCCTCCTGTGTCCACTGGGAAACTGATTCGGACTTTTATGCTTGGGAGTATTTTCTCATTTTCTTCTGCTCTGGGTTATATCAGCATAAATTTGTATAGGAGACACCTTATGCTGTCATCAGTGGTGGTGAGTGTGTTTTCCTGATGGCCCATGTTGTCTGCAATGGTGCCGTCAGAAAGCAGTGTGGGACAGTGTTTCTCTGCTGCGTGTGCGGTGGCTGCCTTGACCCGGTGCCTCCATGTGACAGTCCGCACCTCCCTCCCATCGGGAGGCTGTGGGTGTTTACAGTTGCTTGTAGCTCATGGAATCCATTCTCAGTACATTTTCAGTCGTGTGTAACTGTGATTAAACCCTTGTGCATATTTTTCAAACTAATACAGTTGCTTCATAGAAATATTAACTTTTTTAAGATATAAAATACTAACAAGTATTTTGTTTTTTACTTCCTGAGTATTTGTTAAAATGTCTCATTATAATTATGAATTTTCAGGTATACTTTGCAATTTTTAAAATTTAATGATTACCCATTATTGTTATTCAACATTATTATGTGCATGTAATTTCAGGTTTTTTTTCCTCAGGCTATTTTTATATTTTAATTTTTCATGATACAGTTTTGTCATAAAACTGACTTACTCTTAATGCCAAAAATGTAAATCATGGTCTTCCCAGGTTATTTTTTCTTTTTTTGCCTGTGACCTGCAGATTCACACCTCTCGGCAGAAAGAGGTGTAATGAATTCTAATAAGAATGACCACAAAGCATCAAGGACTGTGAGGTACAACAATGTCAGGGCATTTAAAGGGGCTTTTAATGGGATGTAGGCTTGCGTTAGATGATTTGACTGCTTTTCGAGGAGGCCAGACCTTTTTCTGAATTGACTGCTGTGAGGAGGTGAACCTCATTCTGCCATTAGCAGTCATCCTCATTTTCTAGCAGCAAAAACAATGCGGTGGAGCTAAAGCTCATTTGCAAGAAGCTCCAGTCATATTAGTAAGAAGAGGGGAATGTTGGTCATTGTTTTGATTTGGAAACATACCCTTTACCACCTTTGGAGACAGGGATACAAAGTCCCCTTATAAATATTCTGGAATATCATGGTCACCTTGATGAAGGTGTGTGACATTTCTCTTATCAGCAGGATGAGACTGGCCTTACAAGGAGGGCCAGGCCCACTGCCTCTGCCACAGCCTTTGTCCTTCCTAGTTAGTAAATATTGGTGTGTTTTCTACAGTGTATCAGACATCATTTATCATAGAGTACCTCAGTGAAAAATAGAAATTTACTTTCTGGGATACTTTACAATATATTTAATATCACCTTTCTGACTCTGCTGAGGCCTCTGAGTTTAGATTAACTGTGAGAACAAACCTAGCAAGGGAGGAAGGAGCACTTGTAAAAATAGGGCTTTTTTGCTTAGAGACTATTTTTTTAAAGAGACAAACAGTTTTTTTTGGTGACAAGGAATAAAAGAGGAATTCTTAATTCCTTTTCTCCCTGGTGAGTGAGCTACACAGTGACGTGGACAACATAAAATAATTCCCTTGCAGTCCTTGGTCATTGGCCAAAATGCAAAGATGCCTGATTATATGACTTGCAATTATTATTTTCTTGACAGAAATGGCAGCTGATGTGCTCTCCAAGTGTATCAGCAGTTGCTACATTGTCCTTTGTGTCTTCAAGTTTCATGGCAGGGGACAAGTACTTCCTTGATGTTTTTGGAGTCTGAGAGTAGCAGTGATCAAGGAGCCTGGCAGTGGTCCGAATTGGTGGGCATTCAACAGCTTTTGCCAGACAGGTATCAAGAATTTTGTGAGTGCCTTAAGTTTTGAAGAGATTGGTTTTCTGGCAGCTTCACCCCCAGGGCTTCCCCAAGCCCAGCTGCCAGGCTCACTCTCTGGAGGGAGAGGCTGCATTCTTGGTGCTAATGTTTAAACGTTTCTCATTGCTTTGTGCTCAGAGTCATTATACCCAATTTAGCAGAAATAATCAAGGCACTGCAGGATTTGGATGTGGACATAAAACAAGTTCCTGCAGCCCTGGTGCTTATATTTTTTTTTGGCGGGGGGAAGAGAGATGACTAACAAATGGTAATGCTTTGGTTTATAAGATGAAAATGAAAGTTGTGAGGGAATGTAAAGAACAATGTGAGATGACAGTACCGGGGCTCGAGTGTGTATACGTCTGCCGTGACGATAGGAGCCTCAGTGAGGGAGGAAGTCATTATCGACCACTTGAAGATAACACGTCTTAAACACTTTTAGGAACTGCTTGGGTGTGGACGTAAGCAGAACCCAGCAATGCAGAAAGTCCGAATTTCTGTGATTAACAGGAAACACATCTAGACATCATTTATCTTCATTTTTGAAATTGCTAAGCTATCTATAGAATATGTACTTGTGTTAGACATTGTTATCTGGGACTTGAAATGTGCTAATGATTTGGGTCACAGATAACCTGTGATGTCTTTTTGTGTTTGATGTCATTTGAGAAGATTTTCACTTACTTTTAAATTTTTAAATGGCACAGTATTTTGTCATTTACACTTTGCTGCTGTATGCACTGAGGGACACAGAGTGGACCCCATCACATTATGGAGCCCGTCCACTGGGGAGGCACCTATGCTCATCTGCATTGTTCACGCCCACCCCGAGTTTGTTCTTTGGTCTCCTGCGATTCCCCACTAGAAACACCACAGAGAGCTGCGGGCGTTTAGGGCAGCTGCCCAACAAATAATGTGAGCAGTAGAACGAGGGAATTATTTTCAGTAACTTAGCACAAAAAGATATATGATAAATTTTCAATGTCTTTGTTTTGAAGGGGGCTGGGAGTCTTTTTGGCCATCCCTGCACACCCCGTACCCCATTTTCCTATTTTCAGGTTTTATTTTTGTATGTTTATTTCTAGCATGTGTTGTGAAAGAGTGGGAAACAAAAGTAGTCACTATAAGTTTTTATAAAGGACATAGAAATTTAATCTTTTCATTTTTCTTTTTTTTTTGGAGTGGCAACTCATAATGGAAGTGGTCTTTTGACATGGTAAAATATTTTCCATCTTTTGATGATAGTATTACCACACATTTATGAGAACTCGGAAGTATACCTAAAATAATTATATACATACTTATATGTATATGTTCTATTTTACAGAAAGTTAATGGCATGTTCACTTTTATGTAATAAAAGAATATTAAGCTCTTCCTGAACCTTAATTTTTACCTGCCCAGTTCTTCTAATGTGGGGTCCTCGTTAAGGACTGAAGTACTGGGGAGGAAGGACACGAGGCACAGCTGGCCTTCCGTGAAGCCCTGCCTTAATTGAGAAAACACGCTCTGCAGTTACACACGACCTCATCTTACACACGTAACTAGGATTGAAGTGATAATGATTCCAGAAGCTGCCTTTGAGTTTTAATCAAATTACTTGGATCTCTGGACACATGGTGGTTCTAAAACATAAAAGTGCATCTGAAATTCACATATAACTTAACTTGACTTGCGTATGTGGGTTCCAACCACAACTGATCCTTGAACAATGTGGGTTTGATCTGTGCCAGTCAATGAAACTAGGCAGGTCAGCTGACAGAAAACCCAGTAGAAGGGGGCATGCGCAGCTCAAACACACTGTTCTAGGGTCAAAGGAATTGCATCTTGGTCATCCTCCCTCAAATTCTGGCCCACGCAATGCAGTCGTACTGTTTCCAGACCAGTAGCACTCACGCATTCATTGGAAGTCAGGGCTACTGATCGGGGCCCACATGCTGTCATTCCACTAACATTAGTGCCAATCAAGGTGTCTCCAAAACACGCAAAATGTGTGTAGCAGACAGCTAATGTTTCGGATGTTTCCTTGAAGGAAAATTCCCCGCAGCCATGGTAGCTGATGACCAGTTTGCTTTGGTTTATATTAGCAGCCGGGGAGAGTTCTGTTCCCTAAAAGGGCTTACGGTTTGCTGCATGGGGGTAGGCTACACCAGCAAGGCACCACCAAAAATACAA